CCTGCCAAGAAGCAGGAAAATTGCATTCAAAACACCCCCGACAGATGGCCGTCCAGCCTCTGTTTCAAAGTCTCCAAAGAATCCTTCACCACACTCCGGGGCAGAGAGTTCCACTGCTAAACGGCTCTCACAGTCAGGAAGTTCTTCCTGATGTTCAGGTGGAATCTCCTTTCTTGAAGTTTGAAGCCATTGTTCTGCGTCCTCGTCTCCAGGGCAGCAGAAAACAAGCTTGCTCCCTCCTCCCTATGACTTCCTCTCACATACATGGCCATCATGCCTCCTATCAGCCTTCTCTTCTGAAGGCTAAACATGCCCAGCTCTTTAAGCCGCTTCTCATAGGGCTTGTTCTCCAGACTCTTGATCATTTTAGTCTCCCTCCTCCATGATACATTCCAGCTTCTCCCTTCAATTGCAATTCCCAGAATTGGACACAGGATTCCAGATGTGGTCTAACCAGATGTGGCGGAATAGAGGGGTAGCATGATCTATTTCTGTTATCTATATACCCACATAAGAGCCACCATGGCGCAATGTTTTGAGCCTTAGGGCCCTTCCACACAGCCCTATATCCCAGAATATCAAGGCAGAAAATCTCTCATTATATGAGCGTGGACCCAGCTCAAAGCAGATATTGTGGCATTTTCTGCCTTGATATTCTGGGATATAGCGCTGTGTAAAAGGGCCCTAGACTACAACTCTGGAAATCAGGGTTCAATGCTCCATTTGGCCATGGAAACCCATTGTGTGACTTTGGGTAATTAACGTGCTCTGAGCCCTTGAAAGCCACATGATGAAGTTGCCTTACAGTTACCATAAGCTGGAAATGACTTGGAAGGCACAACATCAAAACATATACATACATGTTCAAAATGGCTTTCAACAGAAAAATTATCAGGAATAAAAATCCCAGTAGCAACAACTGGATAAAATCGAAACCACAATATCCGGAAAGGAAAGCTTTATATCCATTTTTGAATGAAAGGAAAGACAAAGAGTTCCTCAGGCAGGTTGCTGATTCTAAAAAAACCCCAAACGTTACCTGCTGACATTTGGGTTACATGAACAGCTGAAATAAATATGTACTTCCAAATGCTATGTTGTATACACTTCAAAAAAATTCAATATAATAGGTCAGAATTATATGCTTCGATGAACAAAAGTGAATTAGGGATTTTTGTAGAATGTAAGGCCTCTCTAACCTTTTTTTTGCATCACACCTCCCAAAATGTGATCCAAAAAAATATGCCCAATGCTGGGAGATTTTGGGACCTGTAATAAAATGATGATAATAATCACAAAGATGATGATGATGATCACAAAGATGATGATGAGGAGGATGACAACAATGACGTTTCGAGGCTCCAAGTGTGGAATCTGTTTTTACAATCACAAGTGCATGATTGATTTGCAAAACAGATGCAGATGCTCTTGACTCCGCAGCATTAAACAATTGCTTATCAGCTTTGTACTGAGCTTTGCTTCCCTTCAGTCTTAATCAAAACACCCTTTCACCTTCTGGTGAACAGTTATTCCTAATTATCATTAAATGATAGGATTGTTTAAAGTTCCTTAAATAGCATTAAGTAGGTTGTCAAGGGAACATCAGACACAACACGGAATCAGTGCAAAATGAACCTATAACAGGGAGATTACTGTACCTGCTTATCCTGGCCTTTCACATAAATTATGCAGTTTTATATAATTTCATATCACATTCTCTTTTTTAAAGAATGCAACATTTCAGCTGTATTTCCCCCCAGTAAAAGCAGCTGTATCTTCCATCCTTTCGACCTGTAAACAAAGGAAGACATCTTTGAGGAATTAAGCCGATAATGTGCCTAAACCTAGCTTTAAGAAAAACGCCAGTATGTAAATATATGTACAAGTAATCATACTGATTTCTGCGGGAGTTGTGTGTGGTAGTGATGTGAGTGTTGGGCCAGCATTCTGGGAGATTGGGATTCAAATTCCTGGCCATATTCACATCACTATCCAGTAGCATTTAGTGCAGGCACACCAATCACATCAGAATGTGTTCACATCCAGCTGTACATATTTACTCAAGGCAGTCTTCAAAGGCTCCAAAACTGGCCAGTAAGATTGACTTATAATATCAGATACCTTTTTCTTCCCTTCTAGTTACAGATAATAGCTTTCATATATGGTTGTAGCGCATAACAATGTCAACCAATCAACTGAGAGAGGGAGGGACAGAGGAAAGAACTAACCAACCAGTTAACTAACTCAAAAACTACTGTGATCAACATGTGTAGTGATGAAAGTCTCCAGAAACTAATGTTGCTTTGCTAATAGCTAGAATGATTAAAATGAAACAGATACAGTGAAAACATCAGTCCTTGCACTTTGCTGCTCTGCTGCTGAGTACGCATGCCCAGCGTGGAACACATCTCACCACGCTAAAACAGTGGATGTGATTCTTAATGAGACATGCCACATTTCACAGGATAACTGTGCCCTTCACCAATGGAGAAATTATACTGTTTAGCTGGTATTGCTCTACCTGACATCTGCTGGGAAGTAGCAGCCAATAATGAAAGGACCAAGGCAGTGACATGCCCAGACCATCCCCTGCTTGGATATCAGGCAGCACACCCATGCATTAAATCAAGAAATAGTTTTCTAAGATCTACAGAGATACTCGCAAGAATACCTCAGCAAGCGAGAGTCTAAAAGTGGCAGGCTAAAACCTGGAATTTCAATCCATGGCTGATACCAAATGAGAGACTCCCCCCTGGGCAGACAGAAGACTGGGTGACTTGGAAGGCGCTAAACAGACTGCGATCTGGCACCACGAGATGCAGAGCCAACCTTAAGAAATGGGGCCACAAAGTGGAGTCCACGACATGCGAATGTGGAGAAGAACAAACCACAGACCACCTATTACAATGCAGTCTAAGCCCTGCCACATGCACAATGGAGGACCTCCTTATAGCAACACCAGAGGCACTCCGAGTGGCCAGCTACTGATCAAAGGACTTTTAATATAAGGTCAAGTTTTTAAACTTCATGTTTTCTCAAATACATCACATCTGTACCCTTGGTTTCTCTCCTGATACGATAAAATTAAAACGATTACATGAGCTTAACAAATACTAAGATTCAAAGGTCCAGCCGTTTGACACACAGCAGGAAATAACCTTTGACTGTGTAGATTTGCACTGTGACCTCACACATTAGCATCTTAAATTCAAAAGATCTTCACATGGTTTTTCCACTGACCTATGTCCAACTTTCTACTCTAAGAGGGACTGAAATGTTACAGAAAGCATAGTTTATTTACCGACTTGGCATCAAGTTAAATAGCAACACAAAGTGCACGGCTGGGGGATGCGAGCTGGAATTACATAGATGTTTAGTAAATGTGGTGTCAGACTAGGAAATCATCATTTCATGATGCTGGGTGCATACATTCTTTAACATCATTATAGTCCATGGTGGTGAACAAAAGGTTCCTCCTTCCATTGAATAATCCAGGCTTTGGAAACTGATAAATAGCCAGTCATGGATTGTGGTGTGTGTGGGTGTGTGGGTGTATCTGGCAGGAGTTGGAAAATAATGTCCATCATTTTAACATCATATATGTGTGTTGAGGAGGGAATATCTGTGGTGATCAGCTCAGAATGACCCAGCAGCTCAGTAGAAACTTTGCTTTGAATCCATTCAGTGGCCTATTTAGCCCAGCATTGTTGACAATAATAGGCAATTGTTCTTTTTGGGAAGAGGTCTCCAGTTCTACCTGGAAATGGCTGGGACTGAACCTGGGACCTTCAGCAAGCAAGACAGATTGCCCCATAGAAGAAGGAGGTGGGGAGACAGAGAGGAAAGATGTGGCAAAAACAGAGAGGACAAAGAAGTAAAAGGAGAATTCAGAAGTAACAAGTAACTATGTCTGACTGTCTGTCTATCTAATACTACAATAGTCTCCCAAGAGACTGAAAACACAAAAATTAAAACAAATTTCAGACACTTCTATTTAAAAAAGCACATAGTTTAAACACATTTAAACATGTTTAAAACATGCTAAAGAGATTTAAAAAATAAAAGTCCAATATGTTACACGCTTCTGGTAATGCCAGCCTGGCAAAGATACATATCAGAAGTAACATAGGATCAGGAGTATAGCACTGGGTGGAGGGTGGGAGAAAATCACTGCTAATAATATACAAGGATGATGTTTTGTTTTAATGTAGAGAAAGGCATTCTTTTTCATACTGAGAACAACATTCTCTTTGAGGCATTCATTTTGGAAGTTGGCAGAGATAAAACTATTGGAAATACGAGATATCGATTGCATTTAGTGCATTGGAAAGGGTAAAATTGTGTCCCTCCTCTTGCTCAGATGTGTTGATTGTATGCAAACGCCTTTTGCACTTTGAACTCAGCTTGCAGTAGTTGAAATAAGCTGAGGATAAATAGGGAAGTGGAAAGAGGAGTGCAGAACTGGGACATTTTAAAAGCAGCTGAAAAGGTGGGATATCAGAGTATAAATTAGGACTGTCCCTGCAAAATCAGGAGAGTTGGAAGGTATGCTAATGGCACCTCCATGCCGCTTCCTTCTATCTCTGTCTTCCCATTTTTCTCCATATCTGATTGCTAAGGAAGGGCCAGGTTCATTTTGCAGAGGATCCTCCTGATCATTTGCACAGGGCTGATGAGGCTCAGATGAAGGTCACATGAGATCGAATTAGGACTGCAAAGGCTCTTGCTGTATACATTGCCATTTCTTTCTTGGTCCAATGGTTCACATTGTGTTCTGATGGACCATATTAAGAATTATACCAAATTTGAACCACACCATGAAGAAAGATGATGTTCTCTCTTAATAGGGGTGCAGTGGGGATAGCCAAAGATCTGCATAATCCTGTATTTAGTGGGAGAAAATTGAACTATGCCAATTCATTGAGGTGTAACAGCTATCAACCATTCCGTCCTGTTAAATGGAAATCTCAGTATCTTTATATCTGTGCTTTTCATGACAGGGAGCTGAGAGGAAAATCCGAGATGAAGAAAGGAAGCAAAACAGAAAGCGATCAAAAACCCCATTATCTCAGCCCCCATGTAGCAATGGTGAGGAGCATCTTCACTCTTCCTTCATCTTTATTTGTGCTCAGCCACACTTACATTGTTGTCCCAGGAATTAACTGTATCCTTGTTCTCCTTTGAGCAGCTGAAGGAAAACTGACCACTGCTGCCCTCCAAAAGAAGAGTGATATCACCTTCTTCAAAACAATGGCAGATCTGGAGTCTCAACCTGTACTGTTCATTCCAGATGTTCATTTTGGGAACCTTCAAAGAGCTGGACAGGTGAGTAATAAGGACAAAACTGGGAAGCATGGAATCCTTGAAAACGTGAGTGATATTTATGGAGAAAAGTTATCTTTTCACGTCCACAGCACTAACAGAGTAGAAGGTTTGTGATCAGGGAAAAGGCACAACCCAGCCAAAAAACTTTGGAAAGTTACTTTTTTGGAGAACTTCTAGAATTTTTGGGCCAGCCCACAAAAGTTATTATAAACTAATAGTGTTACAATGTTAGAAGCCACTATAGTGGCCATCTGGTCCAGCCTCCTGTCATGCAGGAATCCACTGATGAAGTATCCCTGAGAAATATCCATTTGTTTCCTAATGGAAAGTTCTCCACCTTCCAAGGCAAGCTACTCCATTATCAAATGATTTTTATCATTGGGACATTATTAATGAGTATTTGTTTATATCTTTTTTATGGTAATTGGAATCTATGGTTTCGGAGCTAGAGCAGCAGAAAAAAAACTCACTACATTTACTATATGACATGTTTTCAGTTGTTTAAATGGCTGTTGCAACAACAAAGATGGAGGGACAAACAACAAGGTCTGGCCCAAGGTGAGGCCGTGAGGGACAGGAGCACACACACGCTCACATGCACAAGGCCAGACAGTGGGAAGCTACCACTTTATATTAAATATTTCCTCAAATATTTATTTAGGTTTCTTTTGCTGCCACCTTTATCTATTCATAGGCCACCTCCTTCAATAGAATGTTTTTTAAAAGCCACACAAACTCTTCAGATAAAATAAAACAAGAATATGTTGTTTATTTTGTTTCTTGAAGAGTAAATAAGCATAGTGGTTTCAATAAAATGTCAGGCTTAACTTTACAGAGAATGGTTTTTTAACTTGGAGTTCCTTAAAAGCAATGTTTCACACACAAGAATACAAACAGGTTGTTTGAACCTTTTGAATCTTCCTTCCACACCAGCACTCTAATCACTATAGAGGCCTAACTATTTTCCTCAAAGAGATATATTTTAACAACAGTTCCCAAAATTCTTTCTTTCTTCCTTCCTTCCTTCCTTCCTTCCTTCCTTCCCCTTCAAAACTCCTAACCAACCCTTCTTATTCCATACTCCCATCTCCAGTTGATAAGCATTTTCCTCCAATTTCATCAGCCAATCAGACTGCACTTCTGGCTATGAGGCTGCCTGATCTCTCCGCCCCATTTTCCTTAGCTTTTGCAAGCCAGGCCCGTTTACTGCCTTTTACACCAACCCTGCAAGGTAGGCCAATCTATTACAGCTATCATGCCACCTTTCAGCCTTTGCTTCTCCATGCTAAATAAAAACAACTCTGTTAACAATTCCTGACAAGACTTGGCTTATAGATATTTTAAAGTTTTGGTCCCCCTTTTCTGGACACATTCCTTCTTGTCAATATTTCTCTTGATTTATTTATTTATTTATTTACTTTACTTTACTTTACTTTACTTTACTTGTATACCGCAGTTTCTCAGCCTAAACAGGCGACTCAACGCAGTTTACAACAAAGGTACAACAGTCAACAATATACAATTTAAAACCATAAAAGCATAATACACAATCTTGACACAACAATAACAACCCAATGCATCTCATGACTAAAATCGTGATCCAGTTTCGTCGTCCATATTACCATTCCTGTGATACATGAAATTGGAGACTTATTCCAAGTGATGTATCTAAAACCGAATAGTGTGGTTTTGTTATCTACTTCCCTTGGACTGAAAGCTATTGTTCTTTTGATGCATCTTATAATAGTGTTGACATTTTTTAACAGCCATATTGGTAAGCTTGTGATCTGCCAAGGTCTCTCACATATACTGCTGTGAAGCCACGTGACACCTATCTTTTCTTTCTGGGCCTGGGTTTTCCTAACCAAATATAGTACCTAGTATTTATCAGTGCTGAAATTCATTATGTTAGTTTTCATCCAGCATTCCAATCGATGATGATGATGATGATGATGTTTATTTACACCCTGCTTTTTCTCTCCACAAAGGAGACTCAAAGTACCTAAGTATCTTGAATCAGATTATCTTGAACCTTCATTTTATCTTCTAAACTATACCTATCAGATTAAAGGTGACCATAGAGCTATGTTGGAGAACCTACATATTCTTCTCTAGTGATTTTTTATTCATTCTTTTCTACTTTCTCAGAGGTCTTTTTTTGTAACTGAATGTAGAGGGTTTACTGTAATGTCATCCTTGAGGCCCTTTTCACTCTATACCACTATGATTTACTGTAACTTTCATGGTTTCATCCTATGGAATTCTGGAATTTGCAGTTCAAGGAAGGGCATCTATAATGCTCATAGTGAGACTTCACCAGATCTTGAATTCCTTAGGATGCAGCCATGACAGTTAAAGTGGGGTCATGGATGCTGCATAGTGTGAAAAGTCCTTAGTTTACACACTCAGTATTTAATCCTGGAGACATTCTCAGTTACTCCCTCTTTCTTGGATTAACCAAATAGGGGCCCTATTGGGACTCCAAATACATACAATTGTATCTGTTCTTTGGTGTTCTTGTTCATGTGTGGCTAAGTAGTTAAGGCAACAGTTTGTGTAATAAACCTCTTCTTTATAACAACAAGCTAGGCTTGTGCGTGGATCTGTTTTTATCCGTTTCCTTCAGCCAATCCGGCTTCTTCAGTTTGTTTGGGTGCCTGCTGTCAAGGATTCATGGGCCCAGCTGTCAAGGATTCCCGTCCATAATGGGACCATGTGGCAGCCAATCTCAGCTCCTCCTCTCTTATGTGGCATCACAGTTTAACCTTTTTTTTTTATTAATCCAAGCAAACAGAAATAGAACCCTCATTCTCTGAAAACTACTACCACCTATTTACCTCTTCTCTACAGTAGAAAGTAGAAACAGCTCTAAGGAAGCAATAAACCCAAAGCAGAAAGGGGATTGAAGCATGCCAAGCAAAAGGAAGCCCAGGGAGGATAGCTCCAGGTCATCTCTCGCCTCTAGAGTAGAAACAGTTTTAATGAAGCATTAAGCCTGGTCGCATCTACAGACATAAGGGAAAGTATCACATAAAGAGTGGTGTCTTAACTCTGATTCTTTTAATCTAGGTTTAATGAAGGATATAAGGACAAACAATGCCTAAAATGATGGAAAGGGAAGCCTGGGAAGTTCCTCCCCCCCCCCCCCCCCAATAGAAAATGAATCTTTCGGCTTCCCAGATCAAAAACAGATTTCTGTTTTCCCAACTTCGGGAGATTCTCACAAATGGATCAGGACGCTCACTGAAATCTAGGACACCAAAACGGATCACAGTTTATCTGAATTGCACAAGCCTACAACAAGCATAAATGCTGGTTTGCTAACTTTCAATCTGTTTTGCTAATTGTATCAATATCTCACTCTCCCTGAACGCCAGCCTTCTCCCTTTTCTCAGCCTCTCCAAGCACAACTCCCACCAAACTGTAATTCTGTTTGTCAATTAAACCCTCAGTCCCTTTTCCCCTGATCTTTATCCCTTCACTCAACATTGCAAGGGCTGCAAGTAGTTAATTTCACAGATGAAAGCCACAAGACTAAAAAATTGAATAAATCAGTGAAAAATGTATCTCAATAAAAGGATGGGAATGGGACATTAAAAGTAAATTGGAAAGAAATTCAAGCAGGAGCTGTGAGACTTTAAAATACCATATCTTTGAAAAAGGTAACTGTAAGTAATAAGATTGTTTAAATTGTTCATCTGAAATGAGAACGACAGAAGGCCATGTGAATACTCCTCAGGCTCTCTTCACACTGCCTCTTCATTTCCTATCATTGCAAAACCTATTCTGCCATAATTTTCTCAATTTTAAGAATTTACCACCGTTTGCCCACTCACTTCTAATTATGGTTGGAAAATTGTGGTTTGAGCTTCGTATGGTTAGCAAAAGAACAAATGGTACACCATAATTAGTCTTCTGTTGCAAGACAGTACCGATAAATACATCCCTCATTTAGCCATAGCTTGATCAAAATGCAGCTTTGAGTTTATACTGGACCAAATTTGTTGCAATCAGCAAGAGAGTATCATTACAAGTAATGCTAGCTTTTGGCACTGCATTCAGAGAACTCTTCCCTCCCGGTTTCTATGCATATTATCTTACCTTTTTTGGGAGTTGGCTGAGAGCTTAAATAACATTAAGGCAGACAAAATGATGAGTTGAATGATCAGCGTTCTGACTAGGATACTCAGTGTAACAAATCTTGAAGTGACAAGGGCTGAAGTGTACAGTTAATTCATTTTAATCAGTCTCCATTTAGAATGTTAGAACCTTAGGCACTTGCTGTGGTACTTGCTGTCAGCTAACAAACTATTTGCCAGCACTGAAGAGACTAAACAAAATAGTAGATGTCAACACAGTGGAAATACCTGGGGGATGTGAATTTGAATTACAAACTGTTTTTAATTAGAATCATGTTTTAATGTAAGAAATGCAAAAAACAAACAAACAAACAAACAAACAACAACCCAAAGTTTAAAATTGTGTACATCTCACTTTAGCACACCCATCCCTCATTATCTAATGCACAAATGGCTATCCACCTATTTTGAGATGTAGTTCAGTGGTGGAGCATATGCTTTGCATATAAAAGTTCCCAGGCTTCATTTATACAGTCTTCATCTTGGGTTGGAAAAGATTCCTGCCTGTCATCAAGACTGTGATGGGGAACTTTGAAATGCAAGAACCCATCAAGACAGTCCCCGTAGCTAAGCCTCCGAGTGTCAAAGAAGGGAGGCAAAAGCATGGATCAGTGTCAAGAAGCCAGTTCCACTTAAGGACTGTGATCATGTTGCTCAACATATCTGCACTGTTAATGCTTATGGCAGAATAGTGGCAAGGGTAAAATGGTTGCAGGTGCTGTGGTTAGTGGAAGGACGGGGAGGAAATCATTTAAGTAGGAGAAAAAGCTGCACTGCTTTCTCTCCTACTAAAATTGGGACCTAGCAGAAAAGTTTTCTCTGGCTGTGGCTCTGCTCCAAAAAGCGTCTTACACTGACTAATAGAATATTACAACAGGATAAAGTTACCAAAACAATGCCAGTCAAAGTCTTTTGTGGAGTTGAAGGGTCTTCGTCATTCATTCAAGACCAAGTCAGCCCAGAATGTTTTGTCTTATGCAGGGCTAGTTCTGAACAATGTGTTGTTGCTCAACCATCACAACTGCTCTTCCCCCCACCCCCTCAATAATCTGGAGGACTGAGGCTAAACTCAGAGGTGACAAGAAAGCTTCACCACTTGGTTTAGGTGATCCCTCAAGGATGAGTGTCTTCCAGATATGGTGTCTTGGTGGTGGGTCCATAGGTGGCTGTGGAGCCCTATTCTTGATCCGCATCTTCTCCCGCAGTGAGAACATCAGTTTCCAAGTAGATGTTGGTCCTGGTCAGGGTTAGCTTGATGAGCCTTCCTCATGGCATATTTCTCTCTTTCGCCTTCCGTTTGTACCTCTTCAAATTCCACAGCACTGCTGGTCACAGCTAACCTCCAGTTAGAGCACTCAAGGGCCAGGGCTTCCCAGTTCTTGGTGTCTATGCCACAGTTTTTAAGGTTGACTTTAAGCCCATCTTTAAATCTCTTTTCCTGTCCACCAACATTCAATTTCCCGTTCTTGAGTTCAGAGTAGTGTAGCTGCTTTGGGAGACAGTGATCAGGCATTCGGAAAACGTGGCCACTACAAATTAGCATAGAGTCAGGTGTTACGTTTGATGAATCCAAGCTCTGATTCTCTCTGGCTTTCTACCTGTCTACTGTCTGAAATCTATGCATCCTTTTCCAAGGAGCTTACTATTTTCTCTCCCCCTTTTCCCCTTCCTCACAACTCCCTGTGAGCTAAGTTAGATCGTGAGACAGAGAGTTAAGTTTTGTCTTATGTTAGCATTCTAACCACTAGAACACACTGGCTATTTCCAATGTTGTATTAGATAAGTGCAGTTAAGTCAATTGATTTAACTGAGTACCTTCCTAACTCCTTGGTAGTTTATGGATGTACTGTTTACTTCGAATCTGAAATAAGCAATTTATAGGCAGACTATTTCCATGTGGGCTTCAGATTGATTTCAAAAAGTTTTCTGTAAGTAATACATATATTTCTGGGTAGAACATTCTGCTGAGCAAGGGGAACATTAGAGAGAATAAAGCCTGGACAAGTTAAGTTTTGGAACAAACTCCCTGCAGCTCCTATCCAATGTGATGAATGATCATGCTGGCTGGGCGTGAGAAACTATGGGAATTATCCTCTTATTTACTTCCTTCTCTGCTGCCTTTCTAAACAAATGGCACTATCAGTTGCAAGGTTGGCAAATGGTTATAAAGAATGGCATATAGCTGAAAAGAAGAGCCATGAAAAAGTATTAGTAGGACAGTAGAAGCTCAACAGGCAAGGGGTTGGTCAACACCATTATACAATCAGCAGTGTAGCTGTGGAGTGTGAGAATATTAGGAAGTAGAGGAAGACGGCTTGTGGATTCCTGGGCCAGAAGACAGTCATGGAAGAAGACCATATAAGCATAGGAGGAACAATGGTAACCCAAGGAAGGAAAGAAGGGATGCTGAACTGGCTTACCCTGTAGCCACCAGCTGGTCTCCATATCACCTAAAGCTGAGTGCTGGAGGAAGTCATGTTTACTATTAAGCATTGGAACAAATAAACTATTTCCCTTGATCTTTTGTCTTGACACCTCATTGTGAGCTGATGGAGCTGAAGGCCTATGATGTGCTGCTTTTCATGGAGGAATAGATGGAGATTCTGGGAGTTGTCATCACAAAACATAAGCCTTTTATGTTGTGCAAAAGAGTTGAAGAATAGAAATAGAGAATTGGTGGTTTTCAGTAAATAAATCAGTAGGTATTTGGTGTATTCTCAATCAGTAGGATTGCCCTGCCCACATAGGGCCCTGGCCCAGGCCACCAGCTGCAGATTACCCCCAAGAGACTGTTGCCTTTGATTGGAGACATCTTTTCTAAGAACAAAAGCAGCTAAATTAAAATAAAAAGGACACAGTTCAATAAGGATATTTCTTGCATAGGCTGTACTGGGATGAACAGGGCAGACTTGTTCATCCCAGTAGATAGGACGAAATGAGTCAGTAGTTTTCAACAAAGAGAGCAGCTCTTGGAGTCAATACCTCTGGTGTGTCGTGCATTCCATTACCTTTACTTCCACAATGCTACCCCATTCCTGTTCCTCATGAAGAGGTGTGAGAAAGTAGCATATTGTTTTATTCATTTGGAGCACATGACTGCACATTCCCAGGGGAGGGCAGATAGTGGAAGGGAGGGGTTTATTTTTAAAATGTTACCAAGGATATGATGCTGCAGAGCAGCACAAGTGGTGGTGGTTGTTAATTGTTGTCAAGATTACACTGACTTAGGTGACTGCTATGAATGAGACCTCCAAGTCAGCCATTCCTCAACAGCCCTGTTCAGATCTTGCAGATTTAGAACCATGTCTTCCTTTTCCTACTGCCTTTTATCTTACTAAGTCTTATTGTTTTTTCTAGTGAATAATGTCTTCTCATGATATGGCCAAAGTATGACAGTCTCAGTTTAGTTATCTTGGCTTGATTTGTGGTTGAATCTGTTGTTTGTTTGTCGGTTTTTGTCTATTATGTCTATAGAACTCTCTTGTAGCACTACATTTAAAATGTGTTTACTCTCTTCCTATCAGCTTTCACCACTGTCTAGCATTTACAATTTTATTTATTTATTGTGTCAGGAGCAGACTGAACAGTTGTGTTGCATTTTAAAAAAACAAATACACAAAATACAAAGTTTGCAAGCTTGGTAGTTGATTGAATGTCCTTTGACCAGTAGCTGGCCACTTGGAGTGCCTCTGGTGTTGCCGCAAGGAGATCCTCCATTGTGCATGTAGCAGGGCTCAGGTTGCATTGCAGCAGGTGGTCAGTGGTTTGCTCTTCTCCACACTCGCATGTCATGGATTCCACTTTGTAGCCCATTTCTTAAGGTTGGCTCTGCATCTCGTGGTGCCAGAGCGCAGTCTGTTCAGCGCCTTCCAAGTCGCCCAGTTTTCTGTGTGCCCAGGGGGAGTCTCTCATTTGGTATCAGCCATTGATTGAGGTTCTGGGTTTGAGCCTGCCACTTTTGGACTCTCGCTTGCTGAGGTGTTCCAGCAAGTGTCGGAAGCGACCAGAAGCATTTACAATCATATATATATGTTCCTCACAAAAACCAAAGCATTATTTCCCCCTTCCCAATGCAAAAGTAAATAATTATAAGTAATAATTTTAACTGTCCCCGGAGTCTCAACATGAGCAAAGACAACATGGAGACATGTATATAATTGTTCTCTTTCTTTCCTAGTTCTTCTGTATAGCAACTCCTGACATAATCATAATAAATTTGTTTCTTCAATTCTACAGGTTTACTATAACACCGATGACGAGCGAGAAGGGTAAGACATCATGGGAGTTTCGGTTTTACTAATGCTTTAGCCTTCTCTGCCAAAGGGTGCTGGTGTCTCTCCAAACCACAATTTCCTGAATTCCATATCATTTAGCCATGGCAGTTGAAATGTCAAACTACATTCATTCTACAGTGTAGATGCACCATAGTTGCCAGCCTTTATGTGCCCTCTCTGTCAGATGGAGAGACAGTTTAGACAATGAAGAAGCAGTGGGTCTTGGCCTGGAGAGAAGGAGAAGCAAGTTTGTGTTCAAAAGTAGAATGCATTTCCCTTTTCCTTTCTCTCAAATCCCAGGCTAGCTATATTCTTGTCATATGAATTGTTGCCCCTTCTTTTTATACTTAAATTAGCATTATAATTGGAGTCATGTAATTAAACAGCAATTTCACTGTTAGATTAGATCTGTCCAAATACTAAAGCTTCATGAATAATTACACCATCTCTTTGGTAGCTGACAACTTGGAGTAGCCTTTGCATTATTGTTCTTCTTATTGAGTAGCATCTGTTGATTTATTGTGGCTACAGTTTTAAAATGTTCTTCAATCAAGCTATAATACATAAATGTGTGGGGGAAAATATTTATCAGGAATCTAGTTAGCAGGAAGACAGAAAATATATGTCAGTGCTTTTGCTGTTCTCCAGGAATTCTAGCAAAGCAGCAAACACAGAAAGTCCAGGATTGATCACTGTAGTCCTTATGTAGGTGTTGGAAACATTACTTTGCTGGATTACAGTTCCCAATTTTTTCTAGTCAGCATAATACAGTATCCATGCTGGCTAGATAATTTTGGGAGTTACAGTCCAAAAAAGTAAGTTTTCCACACTCTGCACTGGCCTTGCTTAGCCTCTTTCCCTAACTGGGAATACTATTGTGTAACTCTTAATTTGGTTCAGCATTGCATCTTTGGTTTCTCTCTTCGTTTATCTCTGCAACAGGAGTATATTGGCTAAGCGGATATTCCGGCCAGTAGAAGAGGACTTTGTCACACCTCCATTAAAGCAAATAAAAGAAGAAGGATCAAAAAGAGGTATTTATCAATACTTAGGCTCTTCTTGATTCACAATTTATTTGAAGTTAATGCTGGAGAAGGATAAAATATGGAATACAGAGATATTCAAATGCAGAGGATGATCAAGCCTTATGTCCTCCAGATTAGTTGAGCTACAACTCCCATTGTCTTGTGATCCACTGTCAATAGGAAATAGTGTGATAAAGCTTGAGCTGGGAAAGAATGGGATTCTACTCTATAGCTTTGTGTGCCTGCCTGCTACAGCCAAGGTAAACAGCAGCTCCCTCCAGAATCCCTTAATGATTGTGCTGGAGCAGCAACACAGAAAGGAAGAGCAAAAGATAAACATGCCTCACCAGCTATACCTAGCATGTTGAAAAACAAAACCAGAGATCTATAACTTTGGCCAATGAAGTGGAAATTCTAAGAAAAGTGGAGGATGGTGAAAGGAAAAAAAATGGAAAAAGTTTTTAGGTGATTTGTAGGAGCTTCAAAACATTTGTGTTTACTTAAACAAGGCTTACCGACCTGGTTTCTTCATTCTTATGCACATGTTTCTAGTTTTGAATAAAAAAAATTGCTGAAGCATTTTATTTATTTATTTATTTATTTACTATAATTATATCTTGCCTTTCTCGACCCTGAAGAGGATTCAAGGTGGCTTACAGCAATTCAATGCCTTAAAACAATATACAATTAAATAAACATTTCAATTAAAAAAAATAAAAACAAGGTGAGAAAACATTAAAACATTTAAAACATTACAATTACTACTATAAAACCACACTATCGGCAATCATAGTCCAGACCGTTCCAGTAGCCATTGCAAATAGTTCCAAATCCATCTATTGCACTGCATTATTCTCCAAAGCCACGTTTTCACTCTCTTTCTGAAGGTCAGGAGGGAAGGGGCTTCTCTGATATTGCTGGGGAGGGAGTTCCACAGCCGAGGGGCCACCACTGAGAAGGCCCTGTCTCTCGTTTCCACCAATTGCGCCTGCAAAGGAGGTGGGACCGAGAGCAGGGCCTCTTTGGACATCTTAATCTCTGGGCTGCTGTTCATTTTTGTGATTCAGAAACCTATCCCTTCAATGCTATTTCTGCCTCTAGTGTCAGATTTTCCATTAAAAAGTAGTTCCCAGGAACACATCTACTTTGTTAACTTAGAGATACCTGTATGCACACATACATATAGTTTCTACAGGCTGCTAAATTTACTAATTCCTGCACTGGAATATCTAAAAGTATTGGAGGGGTTACTGAGTACCAGTCAGTAGGTGGTTATCTTACATGAAGAAGCATTTACATGGATTTCCCACCCACCTTGCCCTCCCACAGTGATACATCACGCAGGGCTGTTGATCATACACTTTGTCACTAAACTAGAAGCACCAGCAAATGCATATTTCTATTAAAAGGAACACCAATGCAAATGTCACAGACTTATTGATGCATGTATAACAACACTATCATGGATGTAGTGTTGTTACCGCATAGTCTGTCTCTGCACTGCATGGAATAATATTTTAAGGCTATGCCCAATTTTATTTAATGGTGATTTTTTAACCACCTCCCCACCCTCAGAGAAAACAGACTTTTGATTAAAATAGCGGTTCTGGAGTTGCTTTACAAAATGGGGGAAGTAATTTGGTTACCCTCCCATATATTTGTGCCTACCACTCAGTTGTAATGGGACTCTTCTGTGCTGTTTAGAACTACTGTGTAAAACTTCATTAAGTTTTGAGAAATACAGGCGTTCCCAGACTGCTTCCTAGAGAAAGATAAGGCCACATTCCTTTCCTCTAGATATTTCCAAATCGGCCAACATGCCTCCTGCCCTCTGAGATCCTTATTACGTGGGATTATTTTTAATGTGAGGATCTGGCATTTTTTAACTTGTCAGGGTTTGAAAAGAATTTTTTTTGTCCTGTCCAGAGGGAAATAATTCAGTTGTGGAACTGTTTTGTGTGTCTGCCCCAAACTTTGATTCTCTCATTTTTCCCCCTAGTGTTGTTATATGTGAGGAAAGAAGCTGATGAAGTATTTGATGCTTTGATGTTAAAGTCCCCCACTGTAAAGGGATTAATGGAAGCAGTAAGTATTTGTCATTCCTATTTTACAGTTGTTCAAACGTATGCTAAACATGGTGATTTATTAATGAGTAAAATGTCTTTAATACCCCAAAGGCGCCAGACCGTTGTTTCTTATGCTAGTTTGAATGTTCCTTGAAATGCAGTTACAGCCCAACACTGTTTTCAATTCCTACCATTGAGAATTGAGTGTGATCCTGTGCTCTTCTTTTTTTGAACACCCCATACCCTTTGTTTTACATCTTGGTGACATCAAGTGGAGTTTTGTGGGAATGGTGCAGAATGTCGGGGACTGCTGACAGACAGCTAAATTATTATCTGTAATCCAATGAACAAGGAGGTTTGATTAAACTCAGTTGAGTTTTTTGCATCCTGTATTGCATAGCTCCATCATGCCCAACTCCCTGTGGTGCTATGATAGAGGTAGAGTAGGACATTGCTATTGGTAGTGTAGTTGAGGAAAGCCAGCATGATGCAGTGGCTTGAGAATTGGGCTACGACTCTGGAGATCGTGGACACCCAATGGATGATCTTGGGCAAGCCTCAGAAACCCCTATGATTGGTTTGCCATGAGTTGGAAATGACTTGAAGGTACACAACAACAAAGTATAGTTACGATGGGGGAGGGAGAGGCCCCTTCTACACTGTTCTATAGGAGATTCCATCTGAACATTAGGAAGAACTTCCTGACTGTGAGAGCTGTTCAGCAGTGGAACTCTCTGCCCCAGAGTGTGGTGGAGGCTCCTTCTTTGGAGGCTTTTAAACAGAGGCAGGGTGGCCATATGTCAGGGGTGCTTTGAATGTAATATTCCTGCTTCTTGGCAGGGGGTTGGACTGGATGGCCCATGAGATCTCTTCCAACTCAATGATTCTATATCCCAAGATCTGATCCCTGATAATCTCCTTTAAACTGGATTATATGAGCCTCCATTGCCAGATAATCTGGAATAAGCAGTTCCTGGGATGTAGGGGTTGTTTGGAAGAAGACGGAGTCACTGTTCAACATGAAAGAAAGGCATTAAAGATAAAGGTTTCCCCTTGACATTAAGTCTAGTCGTGTCCGACTCCAGGGGGTGGTACTCATCTCCATTTCTAAGCTGGAGAGCTGGCATTGTCCATAGATGCCTCCAAGGTCATGTGGCCAGCATGACTGCAAGGAGTGCCGTTACCTTCCCGCCGGAGCGGTACCTATTGATCGACTCACATTTTGCATGTTTTCGAACTGCTAGGTTGGCAGAAGCTGGGGCTAACTGTGGGAGTTCGGCCCACTCTCCAGATTCAAACTGCCGACCTTTCAGTCAGCAAGTTCAGCAATTCAGCTGTGTAACCTGCTGTGCTACCGGGGGCTCCCAGTAAGAAAGGCATATCTTACTGCATACACAGGCCTCCCAGATAGCTTTTCTGAACAGGGGCTTTTGCCATGCTTATTTCACTCATTCTCACAGCAGTCCTGATTAAAAATGTATTATATTCCTTGCTTACAAAAAAGGCTGACAGAGATCTGATTTTGGCATGTTATCATCAGGTCAGTAATACAACATAGACTTATGGGATCTGTTTTTATTAAAATTTATTCTTGAACAGTGTTCAGTACAAATTGTTCAAAGGAAGTGAGAAGGGGACGCTGCAGCCGACAGATGTGGACAATACATCTTGCTCACCTCTCACTGCCTTTTAATGAGAACATGGGAAAATTTTGGTGGAAAACTTCGCATATTTGTGTACATTCAGTGTAACATAAGAAGATTTTCCTTGTATAAGGGAGCCTCTGTTCTATTCTGGAATTCTCTATATATAAACCCCAAATTCGCAGAATTGTCAGCATTGACTGGAGGAAGGAGTTGGAACAATGCAAACTTTATAGGACTTTCTCATGAACTCCTATTTTAGATAAGTTATTTGTTACTTCATAGTCTTTTTTCAAAATGAAAGGGAAATTGAGAGAGAAAAACATGTTAATAGTATTTTCTCCTCAGTGTCTCTATGGTAGCATAGTAAAGGTAAAGGTTTTCCATTGACATTAAGTCTATTAATTCGGACTCTGAGGGGTGGTGGTGGTGTTCATCTTCATTTCTAAGCCGAAGAGCCAGCATTCTCCTGTCCTGATGTGAACACAACTATGGACAGGGTATAGGGATATTATCTTTGAGGATCCCCACTGCTGTCACCAATTGTACAGTTATGCACGAACCAATTGTACAGGTGTGGATGATTATGGAGGGAATTAACCCAGGCCTCAATTGGGTATAAGAATATATTATAGAGGAGGCCAAATATTACTTGTGAATTAAGGTAACTGCCACCAACATGAGGTATTTGAGGTACCACCGATGAAATCTGGCTTCACAGACGCAGATTAATTGAGATGAGACGGTCTTCAACAAAAGATAACAAGTTTATTGTGTGCAAAGCGTATGGTTGCAGGTTGTTAAATAACTTATAGAACTTTGAATATCACTTGGTTTGTAATACAGTCCAGTCTTCCAAATAACACAGCTCGTGGCTAACTTTTACTGAGGTGAAGCTCTTTAGTGAACAACGTTTCCTGCTATGAATAATCTTTGATCTTTCCTTGATCAAATCTCGGATCACTAGCCCTTCCTTGACTAGTGATCTTAACAAGCTTCCTTTAGTCTTCCTTGACTAAAGAAACTGGCCAGGTTTCTCTCTTCAGCCCTTCTAGACTGAAAAACCTCCAGCTGCTAACACACCTCTCTCCCAGGCTTTTTCAAGCCTCCACTGTCGTTTTTTAAAACGCACATAACTTTTTCCTGCTTGGCTCCGCCCCCTTCTCCCTCCATGAGCTAGCCAGCCTCGTCTCCTTGGCAACGCTCACTGTGGATTCAAACCAGATGACTCCAGTTTTAGCTACTGTTACAAACACAAATATACACTCTAACAGTTAAAGACAAACATAGTATCAATGACTTCTGCACACTCCTTAGACGCCTCCTAGGCCATGTGGCCAGCATGACAGCATGGAGTGCCGTTACCTTCCCGCCAAAGTGGTACCTTTTGATCTGTTCACTACTAGGTTGGCAGAAGCTGTGGGCAGCAATGGGAGCTCTCCCCATCCCATTGATTCAAACCACTGTCCTTCTGGTCAGCAAGTTCTGCAGCTTAACGGTTTAGCCCGCTGCACCACTTTCAGTCCCTATTAAAAATGGCCACTGCCATTCTGTTCCACCTCAAGTGCCTAAAAGAGTGAGGGCACTGCATTCTTCAGAGTGTTGGAAATGAGGAAAATGGGGTTTATATATCTGTGAAATGTCTTGTCTTTTTGAGGTAGGTGGGAATGTAGCAATCGGACACCTTGATTAGCATTTAATGGCCTAGCAGTTTTCAAGGTCTAACTTCTTACTGCCTGGGGGAATCCTTTGTTGGGAGGTGATTAGTTGGCCCTGATTGGTTCTTGTCTGGAATTCCCCTGTTCTTGAGTGTTGCTCTTTATTTACCTCAGCTTAAGCGGCTGAGAGGGAAAAGGAAGGAGCCTGAGGCTGTTAGGAATCGTGGGAGTTGAAGTCCAAAACACATGGAGGGCTGAAGTCTGCCCTTGCCTCCTTGAGCCAATTAAAACAAACTTTTGAAACTCATTCTAAGATGTCATCAGGCTTTGCACATCGGTGTTCAAACCAAATAACACTACATACTTGATGCTTTTCTCTAAAAAAGTAAACAGAATACTGAAAGTTGATTTTATCCCCCAAGGACTCCACAAAGCCATTTTGAGTGGCACAATATGTCATTGTGAGGATCATTTGGCATGACCAGAACTGACTTTGGATCTCTTAGTTGGTTTTGGAGGAAATACTCAAAACCGTTCAGGAAGATGCACGCATACCTACCCAGTTCTGACTTTTGTATCGAAAAAAAGCTCTTGTATTGATTTTTAAAAATAAAAAACCTACCCAGTTCCTGCATCGGGCAAAATATGTTTTAAAAATCATACTGCAGAAGGAAAGTGATGGTGTTAGAGTCACAAGCCTACATTATGTATTTGGTGTAGTTTCTATTGTAGTTCAGTTGGCTGGGAGAGATTTGATGTAGGCAAAGGCGACTCCTGCAAATATTAGAGCCAAGATAAAGGACAGTAAAATGTGAACTCCACTAGCCAGCAGTAAAGAAATTCCTCTTGGTTGTATCTATTTGTGAAGCGACAGGCCCCTTCTTAGGCTGGGAATATTGTATTTCTCAGGAAGTTTCTGCTCGGCTACATCTGGGGAAAAGGGTTCTATATAAGTTAAATTCAGCTAATTATCATCCACTAGAAAAAAAGTTTTTTCTTTGTTGGAGGTACAAACAACAATGACTTAATCCCTAGTCCCTAGTTCCCTCTTGTTTAGGATTCCACTGTTGCATCTAAATTTGGTAGCTTCAAATCCAGGGAACATATTCAGAGTAGCCACGTTGACCATAAAGAAAAACAAAACAAAATCCACAAGAGAGCAATGTCTTCATTGGCTAACAAAACACATCATGCAAATTTTTGAACATCAGCTGGCAGCTGAGGGATGTTATTTTATGAACTGGAACCTCCCTTCACCCATTAGCTATTAGCTATTTTCCTAATATATATTTTACATGATCAACTCAAGTTTTACTTCATCTCCAAACCTATTCAAGCAGCATATCCTAGAAAAGATTGCAAACTAGATGCAAGAAGAAACTAGTCAGGGAGTATTTTGAACTGGTAAATCTCCCTGACTTCAGAGATAATGTGGTTTTCAGTCTGCGGGGGAAGTGTTTATCCTCTCATGCATATTTGTTTATCTTTTTCTAAAAATACACATCCAATACCCATGGGTTAGTGGTCTTCCATACAATTATGCAGTTTCAACGCAATCAACCTTACAAAAAACAGAGCTTGGAAAAATTGCTCATCTGGACTCAACCCCCAGATTCTGGGGCATAGTTTGTAATCTGAAAGTTTTTGCAACTTCTGTAAACTACAGATTGGGTTAGCACAGAAATAATACCTGAGAGGCATAGAGTCCAGGAAGTGAA